AACTCCATTTTTTGTCGTTTTTGAGACTTAAAGTTAGGCTTCCTCATCATATGTTACAACATCATAAAATTCAGCCAAAACTAAATTGCTAAATTTCCAAAACTTACCAAGTCCACAAAAAAAATCTCAAAAAACAGTCCCATGGACTGAGTGAGTTTTGGAAATTTACTCTAAAATTGCAAGTGCGATAAACAGAATTCAGGAGGCCATCCGTATGAATGACTGCTGTTTATTTAGAATGGTATGGCTGATCATGCAAAGTCCCACCTTGTAAGCCTCTCAGTCTGGCATGTAGTGCAGTTAGCGTGACACCTGGGTGCAGAGCGGTACGAGGCCCTCTGCAGCTTAGGGATCGTCCCTGATTAACCCTGAAATAATGTGCGGAGAAGGCCTGCAAGCCAGGAATAGCGCTGTGTGAGGAGGAATGAAAGTCCCTTTTACAAATAATTTATTAAGCGGGATAGGAAACACAGGGCTTTATAGAGTAGGTGAGTGAATTAGCATGTTCAATTAAGTAAAGAGGAGAAGAAAAAAACTCCCATGAAAGCAGAAAATGAAACTAGATAAATAGGCTTAGATAGTGAAATCCATTGCCGTCATCTTCAGCAAGGTGGCTCAGGTCTTTATACCATAGCCACAGCATGCAAGCGCAGGAAAATATGCGGCAATGTGCGAAAGTAGACTACTGAAGAACAGTACTGTATGTTTAAATGATCTTCATGTTGGGGTAAAACTATTACACCATGTCTGTTAAAGTTCGATCGTGTGGCCATTTCAAAATCACTCTTGGAATCACAGCAGTATTTGCAGTAAACAGCCAACACTACAGTCTTCAAGTAAAAGCTTTTTCTTTGATGCCCTAAGACATTTGCATAGTACTGTATATTAGTTATATCAGTTAAATTAGTTTATTATTAGTTATGGTAATGTGTACCACATGGGAGTTCAGATGACAGATTTCCCATGAGATACAGACTAACAATAACTGTTTAAGACCTTATCAGTACAAAAAGTAAGAATAACCAAAGTAGGACAAACTAAAACTAATGTCAAACAGAAGATTCATTCAGAGATAGGACTGCACGAGGAGGCAGAGTCGTCATTATCTTAGATCTTTTTTACATCTCTCTCTGTGCCTTTTAAACATTCTTTTCAAGAATTCATACTATGTTTATTTCTTGTAACAGGAATCGAAACATACATGTGTCCACAACTTATTTTGACAGTCAGAAATCGAATCTTGACTACAGGAGCCTTCAAGTGGTGTAATATTTACAAGAGTTGAATTAATATTTAAAATCAGCTAATTGCCTCCTGCAGAGATCAAATCATGTGTGGTGTATAAAACACAGCATTCAAAAGCATTAAAGGGGAAACATCTTAAGAGCCTCTGAAGTCACACTGCAGTACAGGGAGACGAGGAATTCCTGCTGGCTTATTACTGTCTGTGGAGCAGTCCAAAGAACAGTGCAGATGTCCAAGGGCTGCAGTGCAAATTCACTGAAAATGAGGGAAAATAAATAAATAAGAAAATCAAAGCAATTTCAAGTTTTGACTTTTAACCAGTTACCAAGAGATGGTCTAAAAGTGAAAGGGGACTGAATGACAACAGCTGTGTTTTGACAGTGGGAAACACTGATGCTTCACGGCCCTGTGTGTGTGTGTGTGTGTGTGTGTGTGTGTGTGTGTCCTGTAATGGACTGGCATCCTGTCCAGGGTGTACCCCAGCCTTGTGCCCTGTGTTGAACTGGCATTCCATCCAGGGTGTACCCCAGCCTTGTGCCCTATGTTGAACTGGCATTCCATCCAGGGTGTACCCCAGCCTTGTGCCCTATAATGTGCCCTATAATAGACTGGCATCCCATCCAAGGTGTACTTCAGCCTCGTGCCCTCAGTGTTTTTACAGTGAAAGCATTTTTTTTTTTTTTTGCAGATGATACACATTTTCCCAGCTTTCCCACTTTACTGCCAAATTTTTCTCTTTCAGAATACCATTGAAAAATATTTTATATTTTATAACCTGGAAATAATATTTGTTTAAGCATTTGGCCACCTTTATCCACAAAATCAGCTTTCCTCTGTCGGTTTTAAAAAAACGTGCTCCCCGAACTTTTTTTGTATAAATCATTGTTATCATTATAAATAAACAATTGGTGCATAATATATCGACTGATGGAGGCATCTAATAGCACATGCCGATGGAGAGATGACATGTCATTCTCTTAAACACGGTGGCATTCTCCATTGTGTAATATTTATCTGAAGGGCCCACCTGTTCATGCAGATGAGAGGGAGATGATTGCAGCTGGTCCTTGCAGACTCCACTCTGAGTCATGGTCATGCTCGGCGATATAGGGTGACCAGGGCAGCTCCCCTGCACACGTGCTTCTGGGTATCCTTTGCCTGTTTCCTTTCATAAAGGTTACATTTAGGCCTGGCAGGCAAGATGACTCAAACCTTCCCATCGGCGAGACATCGTTCCGCAGCCGTCATTTTTGACTGGGTTCGCAAAAGTGAGAAGCAACTTCCAGCCAGAGTGTCCCCTGCTCAACCCCCCTCCCCCCCCAGCCAGAGTGTCCCCTGCCCAACCCCCCCCCCCCCCATCATAACCCAAGCACTAAAGTATCTATGACATGATGTTACAGCGTTCATTATATGGGGGTGAAGAGGTGGCAATGTGTTAATTGTGTGCAGTACTAGACAATGAAGATGTGACTGTGATGCCTGAGTCTCAATGCCTCAACAGAAGCTGAGATTTAGCGAGCAAAGAGCTTTTGTGGGCATGATTCATGTCTGTAGACTGAATGCATCCAACAAAGCTGTATTTAGAATCTTCTCACCCATCTCTGCTGAACGCTCAAGCGTTGAGTAAGACACAAGACAAGGAGCCTTTCACCCTATGAGTAATGCTTCTGTTTTTTTTTTGTTTTTTATAACAGTGCATCGGCATGAGTCCTGGTCTTTGTCTTGTACCGAAATCACCCTGCAGGGTATTATGAGTTACATGAGCAGTACTGTGAGTTATAAGGAGGCTACACAGAAGAAGTGTTGGGATGTATCGTTGGCGATGGTGCACATGGACATTTTTCTGCACTCTTTAACCTAGGGCACCTGAAAAAACCTACACCTGTGATAGAAGGTATGAAGCCCACAGGCAATGATTATTCTACTGATGGAGAATTCAGAAAGCCAGAGCAGAATCATTCAGGGGATATTGCAGGCCTGTAGATGTGAGAGAAGCCAGATGTTGGGAGATACAGCCTGGCAAGAATTTTAGCACAGACACACGCGCATCCAACTGCGACATGCGACCGTCAGCCATGGTGATGACAGCACCTGCCATTAAGCACAACTCCATGATATCATGAGAAATGACACCTTCAAATTAGCTCTGACTCAATTTTCATTTCCCGGCGAACCTTTCCAACCCTGTAATATCTGCCTCCGTTCTCACTCTTCTCTACATAGACAAAATACTCATTGGAACCCATTTACTATGACAGATCAGTGGTGCATCATATCACCCATGACAAGGTAACACTGAAGTCTAAGAAGATCTCAGATTCAATACAATGCATATTAATGACACACGTTTGCAAACATATCAGATCAATTCCATTTATCCAACTTCTGACACATAAAAGTGCAGACAAGCTGTAATTAGAAGGCCTGGAAGATATATCTCCACTCCACTTCTGTCCATTTAAGGGAAATTGAAGGCTACAGAATGTAACCTACACAGATCGACCTGCACAGTGATACTGGGGGGGGCTGGTTGTTAGCTTATGAGCTCCAGCTTTGATGGACAGACTAATCAAACAATACAAGGGTAGCAGAGCAGCTATAACAGGAAAGATGGCTCATTAGAGATTAAGGACATTATTATAATGTATATTACACAGAATGTACACTGTATGTATATATAGACACACTGGATAATAATCTTGGTCAAGGCTGTCATTGTAAATTGCCATTTTATATACAACTAGGTTCAGTCACACAGACGAGGAGGGCAAGTCACCCAAGCCCTTAGTGACTCTCCGGTGAATTTCGTGTTCACAATCTGATCGATTTCAGACAAACAGACTCTATCTATGAGGCAGGGGAGCCGTGATCTCCCCCCTGACCTGGAATCAGATTCGCCTGTCTGCCCATCACAGGCTGACAGCAGATTTCACGACATTCGTAGGGTCAATATTGATTATGCATGGGACAAGTGTGACAGGCGTCACTGTGCACCGCCCTGCAGGATGGCACGTCAGAGACCGTGCTCATAGGGGGGGCAGCAATCCACTGCACACCGTGCCAAAAATCCAGCTGTTTATCACAGTCAAGCACAGCACATACCCACTCAGAGCTTTGCCTACAGATGTAATCGGAGGAAGAGCAGCTGAAATGTGACCCCTTTTCATCAAAGAGGATCCCCGAAAGATGCCAGAGAGTTTCAGAGGGTGACACAGGCGTGAGCGTGTCTCTTTAAGGTTATTCACTATCGCACTCTCTAAGGGGGGTGCTACTTCACGCGAAAGTGTTTCTCCGTACTGAAGGAGATGAGGGGAGACACATAAATTAACAGCATAATTTATAAAAAGCTTGCAAAAGCTGTTATTTTAAGACTTGTTTTTTCTTGAACATCATTTCCCAAACAAGCGATATTTCTGAAAATTCACTTCGATGCATTTGGGTACAAACTATGTCATAGAGAGGTCCCAGCATCAGCCTGCTAAGGCAGACGTGCACCTGCTTTGATAGCTATGACACCTCAGCGACAGCTCCGGCATGCGGTGACATCACACACAATAGGAGTCAATGGACATTTGGGATGTCAATCTTAAAAGGCAGCACTGATTCGGAACTTTGTGTGCTTGTCTCCATGCATCAGGTTGCCATTCATCGGTACCACGGTGGGAGGGAGTGTTTGTAGAATGAGACGACGGGGGCTGCAAATGGCAGCTACAGCTCTGTGACAGAGAGAGAGAGAGAGAGAGAGGGAGGGAGGAAGAGAGGGAGAGAGCAACAGTAAGAGAGAGGAGGAGAGAGAGAAAGAGAGACACCAAACTGCAGAACTGGATCAGAAAGCAAAGCCTGAATGAGACCGTGTATGTGAGAAAGAGGGGAACAAGTGGAGGAAAGAGTTTCCGAAATACTAACATTTTGTCTTGGGAAGGAAAATTATAGGCTGCTGTAGGAACTAGTCCGGTGGATGAAGATACCATGTGGTTTTTATGTTGGGAAATTGTTATTTAGCTCCCTTTTTCTCAACCAAAGAATCTAATTGCTTTTGGAGGGTGATATTTTCTTTTTAATTAAGGAAAAAAAAGAAAGAGAGAGAGAATAAGGCATTGGGGTTTCACGTTGTGTCTAAAGATCTGTGGGAGGTCAAATCAAACAGGCAAAGAATTGGGACCGACAGAGATGAAGAAGTTCAAAGGATTTTTGTGCCTCTGGCTCAAACGGTTGGAATGGTTTTACCCGTAGGTTTGTGAAAAGAGGCGCCGGTGACACGCTGGGGAAATGCTGCAGTTTGGCTAGCCGGGGCGAGTGGAGCGGACAGTGACACCAGGAGAGACTCGGGAGGTAAGCACTGCTTGTAAACTTTGAATGCACTTCAGAATTGCTATTAATAACTTTGTTCCTTAGCAAATTGTGCCGGAAGCTCCCAGCGCGGTTAGCTGTCTAAGTTAAAGTAGCCTGTTAGCAGCAATGATGTAATGTAGCCTACCATGGACTTGCCATCGTTAAGAGTCTACGATGATAGCTGCAGTGTAGAGTCTGAAACGTACAGTAACTGGTCGGCATGTGGTGCTGAGAATGGGAACCTAGCAACTAGTGCAGAAGGCGATGAGGAGTCTCGCCCTTAGCTAACCTGCCTGTGAATCGCCATGAGTGCGACAAAAAATGCAACAGCTACATCCCCCTAGTCACATAGGAACGAATGGACAAGTCACTGCTTATGGCTACCTCACTGTAAGCAATAAAGGCAAAATGTAGCAACAGCCCTTAGATATTCTGCCCCTTTAAGGCCTGAACTTGATAGACGGTTCAGCGCAGAGCTCAGGGATTGTTGTAGAATTTTGTTATCGGTGTTATAAGCAAACACTAACCAAACAGAAAATATTGCTTTGTTTTCTGATAAATGCAGTCAGCCCAAAGACTTCTGTGCTTTAAGATGAAAATAAGTCTATAATGACTAAAAAAAATTCTAGAACACTTCTGATTTGTAGTTGCTGAAGAAAAATTACATTTTGGTAATAAACAGTGGAATCCATTGTAAAGCTTATCAAAATCGTTGCAGATTTTACAATCGTTGCAATAATTTTGAAAGCAGGTGTATATAAAGAACTATATTAGCATTTTGAATGAAACATTTAACATCCAACACTCATTCAAACAGGTTGGACCTTTATTGCCATCAGAGATGTCTGTGCGGTACAGATCAATTATTTGATTGTCTTCAAAACTATCAATAGTGATACGCATTTCTGTAATTCAGCACCCATGTTGTTGTATAAGAAAACATTATCCAGTAATACTATTTCAAAATATACCTAATTACTTAATGGCCACAAGTAGAAATAATAAAAAAACTGTTAAAAATGTCAACATATATTTTAATAGTTATTTTTGCCTATAATATATAATAATGCTGTTTTATTTCTTTAAATAATTCATCAAGTGGACACCTGTTGTCCATCTTTGAATAGAAACAGCACTACAAAAAATATTGTTATACATTTGTATTTAAAGTATTAATTTGAAGGATTACTTAAATGAGTGTACAGCCTTTATTTCAATGCAGTATTAAGTGCAAATTTCAGGCAATCGTTATTGTACTTTCACAAATATGACTTAAAATCTGTTTCTCGTGACATAAAAGCAGAATAAACTTATACGATGGAGAGCGAAGATGTTCCTTTCGTTCAAGGACTGATAAGGTGTTCAGCTTGAATGCTACCTGCAGACTGGATTGTAGACAAAGTTCTAGAAAGTTTTCTTGCAGTGCCACACAAAAAAAGAGGGGACTAAATAGAGGATATTTTACATGCGACTTTGAGCTCGCCACCACAGAGATGCCCCCTAGTGGAGAAGGATCTTACAGCGTTAAAACAGCGACAGTTCTGTAAAATGTGACTTAGGCATTAAACATTCACAGCATATTGGGGAGCAGGTTTTAGCACATTAATCATCTACGTTCTGGGCAGTTAGGTGAGATTTTGACAATCCCATCACTTTGATGCTGTTTTAGTTCACGGATGTATTGCTGAGGTGAACGATTCCCTTTTATCGGAGTTGTGTCTGTCACAGGAACGTCAATACGCGTGTGCACCGCTGAATGGAGTGTTGCTGCCGCCATAACCCAGCTTGTTGAGTGGTAGGAGAGCCCTGGGCTCCGGCGGAGTGGAAGGGGAGACTGCAGCCGGAGCCCAGGAGGCCTGACTGTTCACACGCACTTTCCCTATGCTCACTCACCATGTGGGATATTTCTATTTATAGGTCAGTGAATTTCAGTACAAATTCAGCAGGTTTAACCTCGGCGTTTTAGTGCAGCTGTGCTGGCAAACCAACACGTGACAGGAAAAGTACAAGGTGCGAGCCTTACCGTCCAGCGTTGCTAATGCTAACGTGACTAGAGTGTGAAGATCCACCGAGCTGAAACGGCCACACGCAAAGCTACATTCCAGCATCTGACATCTACCTGTCATCTTTATGTGCTTTAGGGTCTTGATAGATGCAGGAATGTTGTTTGAACAGCGGCTTATGAGTTTTCGGGTTTAAACGCGGGAATAACCTTCAGGCATCTCAATGTTACGTAAGCTAAGGCCTGCCCCTGGGACTCGTAGTCTGTGAGTGTGAGATGGAAACTGTAAATGGTGCCTTTGACTTTGTTCAGTCAATAGCCTGTTTTCCTTGAGGAGCTGCAGGAGAGTATATAGTTCTGCTTTGGGAATTTTTAGCTCGCGCCAAAGGCGCTGACCGATTTCCCAGCGTTTAACACGAAAAAGCTTTGGCATGCCTCTGCTGCCCGCGTGACTGTTTGTTCTGCCCAGCCGCTTCCCACGGGATGCAGAGTCAGGAAGCCCACAGGAACCAAAGCTCTCCGTCTGCCGGGAGCTGGGCGACCCTGTGGTTTCCACCCCCCTGCGAGACGCCGCACTAACGCTAGGCATGCACCCACCTCTTGCCCCCCATGTCTGTCCTACAACACCTTGCTCACACTCCCCTTCTGCCTGTCGCTCTTCATCAGTCGTCTTTTTTTTTAATCGATACATTTGTCCAAGGCATTGTTGGCACACTGAAGTTCACGGTTTCTTCAAAAAATCCAGGTGAGCAGGCCGAATGATAGACAGGAAGTAAAAGAAAAAAGAACGAGAACAACAGGTGATAACATAATGATGCAAACAAACCATAAACAGCACCTGCAAAGTTTGAGAAACTCACATGTAATCAGTGGTGCGCCCACACGCACAAAAAGCGCCAAGGTTACTAGGATCTTTTTTAAGAAGAAAACTTGCCAAGATGCAATCCCCCACCTTAGACAATTGGGAAAATCGTTTCACTTTGTTACGATGAACGTTTTACGTTCATTAAGATTCAGCAGGATGATATCAACACGTGTTTTGTAATATTTAAAAAGCCCGGACCAGAGGAATACTCGATCTGAACTGTGTACAGAAATGGTAATATGCCGCAAGTTTGCTAACATATGGGATAACACGTATATGAGTTTGAAAAACCTGCTGTGTGTGACTTTCCAAAAATGACTGTTATGCATCGTCCTAATAAGCGCCCCCCCAGCCTTGTTTACGAATGAGCGGCTCCTGCAGACCCTATGCTATTCTAAGGCTCCCGTGCTCTGGTAACCTTTTCGGCTTGGGGGTCCTTGCTGATGGAAGACCTCAACGGCATCCACTCACCCTGCCATGGCGGAAGCATGGCTGCCCTGGACCTTCACAATTCCGGTTGGCCGTACTGCCATTTGGAAACTGCCATTTGATTTTGCGGGGCACTGTGCCCAAGTATGCGCAGTAATCGGACGCCAGCCGCAGGCACATTCAAGGAGTCAGCCCCAAAGTATACACATATATGCAGCCATTATGTGACTGCGGGTCCTGGCTAAACATGACGTCCTCGCCACGCGTCGGAACCCTGCCTTGCATGCACACGTGTGGCCCCGAGTAACTCAACCTCCTCGAGACTGGAGTCGAGGATTGGGGATGTGCCCGAGAGGTGGGTTAAGGAACCATTTGATGGTCTTATTGCATGTCCGGCCAGGGCTCGAGTTCCGCTGCAATTTGAGACAGGCCATAGTGACGCGTCAGCGGACATCTTAAGCTAATATCTCACCCCCAACAGGTGCAAGATGTCTGGTGGGGGTGCTATGAATGTGACTTTATATAGTGTCACAAAGAGGTGAATTGAAAGCTTATGATCATGGCAGATATATTACTAATTTGGATTGATAATGACCTTGCAGAATGGAATTTTATAACTGTTCTTTAATTAATATGGAGCCAAAGTCTGCCTCTATTGGCTCTGTATTGTATTGCTTCAGTAGATTAAGATGTGTAGCAAGCGCCAAATGCTGAAGTCAAAATGTACATTTATAACGCTTTTAAAATGTGTTTTTCAGTGCTTAGGTCAAGTGTGGCTTTTCATAATCAGAACTGTTCCTCTATGAGACTAATATTAGCAGTGAGTTTAGATGCATTCAAAGAAAAACTGTACATTTTTGCCAAGCTTCAGAAAAAGGGGTGAGACAGCAGGAATTGGGGCATGACGGGGCTGTGGAGATGGAGATGGGGGGGGCGGTGAGGGGGGGGGCTGCCACCCAGCAACCAGCTGGCAGGGCCCCAATGTGGTGGGGGGGTGGATTCCCGCGTCCAGGTGGGAGCACGGTGACCTCGCTCCAGCGGTAAAGGGGCCAGACTGCCTGCAGTCATGCAACAAGATTCCATTTGCAAACACAATTAAAAGGCTAATAAAAAATCCTCTGTGAGATTTGATCCTTTGATTGGCAGCGGGATTCACATAAGAGTGAGTGTGTTAAATAAGGATACTTCCATGTCATTAGCAGGAACACTTGACTAAGGGAATATTCTAGAAAAAAACATCTTGCATCTCATGTATCTTGCATTTAAGGCTACGAAGCAAATATGGTCAGAGAATGAGGTCAAGAGATTAGAATTCTGACAAACAAAATGACTGACAAATTCATGCCTGCCACTGCACTTGAGTATTAAAGGTAAAGACGGCAGCAAATGTAAATCCAAGAGGAAGGAAGGTGATATTTGATTTTTTAAAGAAACAATATCATTGTGCCTGGAAGTATATTATAAACGATAGATGAATATCAGTGACCACAAGAAATCACACTGATAATAGTGTGAATATTCATATGACTGCCATTATCCTTGAATTAAATCAAAGGATTATCTTGCACCCCCTTCCAGCATTTCATACCTGGCTGGTAAAGGACACCAAACGACACAGATGCAGATGTTTTAAAAACATAATCCCATTGGGATACTAAAAAACAGCTATATTTCAAAGCCAAATGCTTTATTTAATTCATCAAG